CGATTAAGATATATTGGTCGAGGTGCTGAGAGTTTACAGACTTCAAAACAATCATGATTACTATGGAATTTTTTCATGCTATCACGAATAAATAAATGAATATGTTTTGGCATATCTGGATTAATACTAACGACACCTTTAGCACCATCATACCGAAATTGGACAACACTGAAATCATTTCGAATATCAAGAAATTGTTTTATCTGCGAATTATACAAACAAAGATTCATAATGAAAATCAAAAGGAATATATTTTGAAAGTTTGAGATTTTGCATAGAGAATTCTTTGATACAACTTATAGATATGTAACCAAACAATACAATAATAGACGTAAATAATGTCTGGAACAGTATTGCTGTTTTACAGATCAGTTAGTTTGATTGTTTGGAATACCATATCAAAAAGAAGAATGAAAACAAAGGAACGTAAAAATATCGTATTTTTAGTTGTCTTGTTCAATAATCGAACGAATACAGATCATGATGGAATATCGTACAGAAATTGTTTAGAGTGTATTATCTGACAATAGTGGAAAGAGCTTTACTGGAAGCATTGAATGATGCATGCAGTATTTCAAAATAGGCTAGCATGCATTTAATGCTACTAAAATAAAAGTTCTAAAACACAAAGGAACAAAAGAGTTATCAATACGAAATCAATCTCACGATGGTTATGAGTAATGCCGTGTTTCTCAAGAGTATGTAATGAAAAGATATGTTTTCATGTTCCTGTTTCTGCATTATTGATTTCAGACCATGATCATAGGTTCTCTATTGAGAAATGTTCATGAGGCGGCAGAAAAACTTCACGACAACAATTACTACATCGTATACTGTCTTCTATAAAAAGATATGTAAACTGTTCATATTCATGCCATAAACGCATGATCATCCAACAGTGAACACATAGATTATTCTACGAGTAATGTACTACAATGCTGAATCATTGATTTGAGACGATCATGTTAGACGTGATCATATTACAGATCATAGTAACTCGTATTAATTCGATTTTCAAGATAATCGATAAAATTTACTTTTTTTCTGAATTATTTTTGTTTTTTTATTGTATGTTTACATAAGATATAAACAATAAATATAGAAGAACATACGGTCTCTACAGTTGATCTATCAAGAAAAGCGTTTTTAATATTCACTCCCCACTAGGAATGCCTGATTACAATTTCTAAAGACAATTAATTTGATATCAGAAATATTCTCATGAAAAATGTTGCACTGCTTTCTTTATCTTTTAACAAAAAGTTAAGTCAAACCTTTAAAAAAGTATAAAAACAGTAGTTCGATAAACAGAAAAAGAAAATATTCGAGATCCATTAAGCATAAGATACCTTCAATTCAATGGCTCACGTGTTTTATTTACAATTATTTCTTTAAATATAGAGTAAGCAATTCCAAAGAGGAATTGGTATTGTCAAATTTCGATACCAATCAAACTCGAAAGATAATCTTCCATATTTTATACAATA